GTACCCCACCTCGTTTTCATATACAGGGTGTTGCGAAATTCGACTGACAACGCTTGACAGGTGATAGCCCTCGTGATTTCATAATCAATGAGATAGGGACATAAATGGTCTCCAAGTGATCAGTTCTCGAGATACAGGGCGTTGAAGTTGAGAAATTGAAATAGTTTTTTCGCAATATCTCAAGAAAACTTGAATACAGTGTGACCCACTTCTTATGGAAACACTTCTGTATCTTACCTAATTGTTGGGAAAGGATCCTGAAATTTGCTGGAGCGAGAGATATACCATATATGCACTCTATGACTAAGTGGGGTCATCCTCGGTTATATACACTGCCTGCCAACTTTTCACAAAAAAATCAACTACTCAGCGATTCACAGACCTTTCACCGTCAAAGGGGTGAAATACCTGAGGGTTAATTTCTGTTCTGCATCATCCCACCTTCTCAAATGAATAGACTGCAGGTGCTGCAGAACAAAGTACTTCGTATCATCACCAATGTTGATAAATACTCTCGAGTGGATGATCTCCACGAGAGATATGGTGATTCATGGAAATATTCCTTCAACTCATTCAACTTATTTTACATGAAAAATCCATAGCTCACTATTGAAATTCAATGTTTTAGTGATCTTGGTGCATTTTTGAAAATGTTACAATTATACATTATATGTAATTTTGAAAGCAAAAAAATAAGGCATTTGATAAGCTCATTGAATATAGGGTGTTCCATTCGAAAAGTTTGAGTCGTATCCCCAAAACCATGCCCCAAAAATAAAATTGAGTGCGCCACTGGAATTTGCATAAAAATTTAGAGGGGGTCCAATATTTATAGAATTGCAAAATCGCCCTGAATCTCATAAACAGAAACAGTTATGCAAAATCTCATCAGTCCCTCTTGAGTTTAAAGTGATCCAAGACCGCGAAAATCGCGAGGTTCTATCTTCAAAGATAACTGAGATATCACGCAAAGTATCGAAAACGGGACACACTGTACATTAAACATGAATCATGATTCATCGTTTGACACAGGTTGGGACAGATTTCATCCCTGAGTGGTCTTCCCCATTGTTGCACAAAAACAGAATTCAAGCAGCAAACGATGAGGAACCTGTTGGGAAACGGACATGGAAGTGTGGCAACATCGCTGGGTCTGTCTCTGTCTACGACCGTCAGTCACACGGATACACCACCCACCTGTAATACAGTCGCAGGTATACGAGGCGGCAGCATAGCAGGACGAACGTATTTTACACAACGGTGGTTAGCTTGCAGGAGCGAAGCGCATACCGGGACATTGCAGGACCGTACTTTCCTTGTAGAAATATCAGGAACAGCAGGAATATCTTCCAATGTTTTTATGATTTTATGTCTCTTTATGTAGTGGTCGACGGAGTTTCATCTGACTCTCTTATCATCAATGCTGGTGTTCCGCAAGGATCAATTCTAGCACCAACACTATTTCTACTCCATATCAACGATTTGTTGAAAGCAACTTTATGTCCAGAACACAGCTTCGCGGATGATAGAACTCTCCATACCGCCTTCTTTTCCAAGGCTCCAATACCAGCCAGGCAGATCAGAAACAAACGAGGAAGAAATGTTGACAACATAAATATGGACTTGGCAACAATTCTCGAATGGGGATCCATTGAAACTTGGTAGATTTCAATGCAAACAAAACACAAGCATGTCTTTTCTCTACAAAACCCAATCTCACTATGCCCAACATAAACTTGTCAGGAGTAACCATACCTTCGAAGACATCCATTTCGATGCTTGGTATTACCATAAGCAATAACCTTTCTTGGAGAAATCACGTGAGATCAATTGCTAGAAGTGCATCCCAAAAACTAGGTTTTCTGTTTCGGGCCAGGAGCTATTTCACTTCCAGTCAGCTGCTTGTGATCTATAAGGCACAGATCCGACCTGTCCTGGAAGCACCCAAACATACCCTGAAACTGTTGGATTCTGTCCAAAAAAGGGAAATTCGTCTCGTGGGTGATGTCTCGCTCACAAACTCACTCACCGTAAAAAAGTTGGCGATCTGGCTCTATTTCATAGATATTTCCATGGACGATGCTCTTCTGAAATATCAACAATTGTTCCTCCTTTGGCAGTCCCCGAGAGATTAACCCGTCGAGTTGAGGTTTCGCACCCCTTCGTGGTCCCTTTGGAGACCTGTAGAACATCTCTTTCCAAAGACTCGTTTATCCAACGAACAGCGAGGCTCTGGAACACATTCCCAAGGGAAGTGTTCCTCAAGGCATATAACCTCCAGAAATTCAAGAACACCAATTCCTACCCTATTTCCCTTGGTTCTCACGATGTTCCCTGAACATTGCAGGATATCCTTTTTCGTAGGAACTAGAACTTTAAAAAAATGCAATTGATGTTGAAATTGAGGAATTGTTTCCTTTGATCCTGTCAGCATGTTTTGCATCTACAAGACACTTAGAGGTCCAATAACTATTACATAAAATGGGATTCGGCTCATTGTGGCTAATGGATATGTATCTATATAATATAATAATAATGATACTAATAATAAATCGTCTTTATTCATCATAGGCAGGAAAAAAATCGCACAAAAAAATTAAACAAAGAAATTTTGCCAAACCTCATATACCTATCTGCAATAAGTGCAATGGTGAACAGGCGAAAAATAAAATAAGAAGAATACCACGTTAATTTACAAAAAATATAAATCATAAAAGGTATAGAAGTAATGTAACCCTGTTTCATTGCCTCGGTGAGAATCATTCATCCTTTTGCTCGCAACATCATGGTTTCCAGCGCCAAGTTTTTTGTTCATCTTTGAACAATCTTCAATATTGATATGAAGCAACAGTTGTCTGCAGTTTGAACCTATATTGAAGTTGAATTCTTCTTTCATGAAACCACGAAGTTATTTTGGGAGTTACTTGACTTGCTTATTATGTTCTGAAGCTTTAGGTACCTTATCTAAGCATTCATCGAAATGCTGACAAATTAAGAGTACCTACCTGCTTCTCTAAAAACAAACAATTATGAAAAAATCAAGGCTATACTTGCACTTTCCGATTCGTTGACTATATTTCCGCTATCATCCAACCAAAACATATCGTTACGATAAAAAACTACATACCTACCTATTTATTGAAATGCGTATCTAAAAGAATATAGATTGTTATTTGCCGAAAAGCACTATTTCGTTCCCAATCAGAGGATTCCAAATTTGAAAACTCACTCCAGACTGGTCAGACTTCTCCTCGCCTCCTATACCATTCTGTACTAATGTCCGACCTTAGTAAATTGCTGGGGCACTATTACCCTCTGTTAAAAACTCAATAACCTTTCGTTAGTAACTCATATTTTTGGGATATTCGGACTTCTTGTGATGTTTATGGCTTCGTCACCAGTTCATTTGCTCTCAATTGAATCCTCAAAAATAAATGGTGTGAGTACTCTTTGGTCCAAAAACCACTGAAATGTGAATCTAACACTATCATTGTGGAATCTCTTGAAATGAAAATACCCAATCTCACCAGAATACCTTGATGACAGATTCACTGGCTCAATCACGGAGCACTTCTTTAATAATTGATAGTGCCGAAGGAAGTGAACGACATAAGGCTCACCGAGGATTGTAAACTGTTAACCTTCTAGCTATTCTCTTCATACAAATATCTGCAATTTCGTGATCATACAATGAATTATGATTATTTATTCTTCGATGTCTAGCTGGTGTCAACCTAAAATCAGTAGAGGCTACCCTTGTCCCAACACATCTCGTCAGATGAGGACACAATAACAGTTTCGTTTATACTGACCCACTATAAAGTAAAGAATAGCATAATGACAATAGACAAGTGCTGTACTGTTGACAAACATATCCCGAAACTACCTGCCATGCCAAAAAGAATGGATTGCGTGCAAGAACTGTCAGACGACTACTACATTGAAACACAACCACACTTTTCTTATTTGTTTAAAAAGGATTGAAATGATTTTTCACAATTATCTTGGCATACGATTGTGCTGTTGTGCATTGCACAAAAAATGCAACCAGAGACGAAGGAATCCGGTTGGTACATTATGATTTGAAAGTAATTACCTTCTATAGTCACTCACATACAGTTTTCATTTTCAAATTTGGTAATTTTCTCTGATTTCTCATCGGAATTCCGTCTGCAATAGGAGCTAATAAAACTACTTGTGGAATTTCTAACAGAATGCAAGAAGATTGGATTGATGCAATCAAACGGGGGACATTTTCAATCTATTAGCAGTATTAGCTTCTATTGCAGAGGTGGCAAAAGGAATTTCAATAAGAATTGACAAAATTTCATAATGAAAACTATGTGAGATTACTATTTACCTGAAAGATCAAATTCCTTCGTCTCTCGCTGCAATTTTTGTGTATTGTACAGCAGCACAATGAGAAGGCATGCTTGAATTGATGAATTGCGCAAAAAACACGATTCGTATGCCAGTATATTGTGAAAAACTATCTAAATCCATTGATGCCTCTGTCAACAAATAAAAAAGTGAGGTTGTGTTTCAATTTTTCACAGAAAAGTGAGGTTGAATATTTTACCTCCCAGGGTCGGTCATCGTGCACGCCACCTATTAGGAAATAAAATAACCTGAGCACAAAATCTAGTAAATACGATGCCCCTTGATCCGTATCGGAATACGAATAACACCTGAATACCCTTGAAATCAATACGCCAAACCTCTAATCATGACCTCAGCAGCAACAAGTGGTAAAAGTGGTTAATCCACCGCCATTTAGCGGGCAAAATCGTGAGCAACAGGTAGCCGGAGCGATTGCTGTCCCGTCCACCTCTGTGTTGCACCGATCGCTAGCGGAAACAGCCGAACGAGCCTGGGAACGTGCCGAAGTGTTCCTCTCATAAATGAACGTGAAAGAGCCCCCCCTCCCTACCACTGGCGCGAGATGCTGGATTGTTTATGGCATGGCATAGCGCATAACTCCAGATAGCAGATACTCAGATAGGCTCAGTGCGCCAGACGAGAGCAGGTCGCAGATTTCAGTTGTTGGTTGTCGTGGTTAGTCACAGGTTGGTTGTAAGAGTGACGTGTGAGTTCGGGAGTGAAATGGTAACGATGAATTCGGTGGTAACCAGCACCAGTATGATGCAGGCTAGCAGTATTTCTCCTACTCCTTCAGGACATGGGGAGGCACCGTCTAGGAGGACCAACGAAAATAGAAGGGTGAGTTTTTTTTAAATGTCATAACTATTAGAAGGATCATTTCGTATAGAAACATATTTTTGCTAAGCGACATTCTTTGGATGATTTTTTTGGAGAAAATATCTATAGGTATAGGAATGTACCTAGGAACTAAATGATTTCAACATGAAAATTAATTTTCAAACTTCGACGTAGATTTGTATATGGACATGACCATGATGATTTTTCATAAAATATCGTGAAAAATATATGGAGGGTTTGATGAAACATATTTTGTTGTCTATATTTATATCCTCTTCTTATTGAAAAATAAGCATAACTATTGTAGGTCTCGTATTCGGTAGGTTTTATACATGAAAAAAAAGACAATTTCAATTTGTTGACATTTCATTATCCTCAATACATTTTTTTTTCATCATCATCTTGCCCAATTCCTTTTTAGTTAAAATTTGTAGGCAATAAGTAGATACCTATAGTCCCTTACTAACTGAGGACCAATATCAGATATTTGAGCCATTGAAAATCCATGTTTTTCTTTTTCTCAACATTTTCCTCGAATAATTAATAATTCATTCAATGAGTAGCCTTGACAATTTCTCTAGACCTAGAGAACAAATTCAAAAATTGGTTATTTTGATATATGAAAATATACATCTTTGTTCTTGATATTTGATCACGGCTGCCGAGAATCTAAATATATAACGTATAGTCCAGTAAAAGTTGATCAAACATCAGTGATTCCAAAAAAATGTTAGCCATCACCTAGTGCCATTGCTCAAAATAAGATTGGGAACATTTATATCAGTCATTCTTTTTGTCTATGTCTATAATTCCTTTTGATTTCTTCGCAATTTTCAAGTTTTTTCTAAGAGGAAATTTCCACAAATGAATTCAGTTCTGAAAAACTAGACAAATTTCACCGGACTAACATCCTTGGAAGCCTTCCAACAATGGCACGCGTCTCTAAATGTCAGATATTGTTTCCCACGGCCTCAATGACACGCCACTTAATCTATTTCCCTTTCTTTCTTTACAGAGCAACAAGCCCATTATGGAAAAAAGGCGTAGAGCCAGAATAAATAACTGCCTGAATGAACTGAAAACGCTTATTTTGGATGCCATGAAAAAAGACGTGAGTATGCCAAATCTGTTGAAAATAAGTGAACTCCAAGCAAAGCCAATATATTCTCCTTCAACATATTTCATTGGTATTTTCTAGAGGAGTTGGAGTTGGTCTCCAGTTACTGACCATTGGGCGCCATTTCATAGGAATACATTTCTTTTGTTCCCTATTGATAGTCTATTTTTATTAGCAGAAATGATTATTGATTCCAGATTCCTGAGTATATTTCTAGCTAATACCATTAACGAAACAACTACGCATTTGAGTTGATTTGAATTGAATTGCCTCATTGTATAACGGTTGTTGTTGCTTTGAAATAAATCAAAATAACCATTAATTATAATAAACGTAAGCAGTGTTTTTCCACTTTGTTACACATTACAGGAATGTTCTATTGATAAAATGGCGCCTCGATAACAATGTAGGATGACCCAATATCAAGGGCTATCACATCAGGTATATCACTCCAAAATTGTCACTTACAAAAAATCACGATACTTATTGTGGAGTAAAGCTACCAAAATTGTTATCTATCTGGAAGTTGCTATCAAGCGATTTATTCATTGAAAAAATAGTAATGATGTTGGATAATTTCATGTTTCACCATGTACTCAACCATTTACACACTTCTTTATGTTTCAAGGCAGACACGATAATCGTGTTTTGATAAGAAACTCGTGCAACAATCAGCCATTTTAATTTTCTCGTAATCAGTAAAGCTCGTGCCAACAGGTTTATTATTTTTTGATGAGCGTGACGTCTAGTATATTTTTTCACAACAATTTTAGATTTGAAGTATATTATCAGAGTCTCGTCGTGGGTACACAAACTTCTTGATTTAAGTACTCAAGTAATATTTCCAAATTAATGCGTATAACGTCAAAATAACTAGCAGTCAAAACATCGCGTCTATGCAAATCAAGATAACCACAAGTCTTAATTGTTTGAAAAGGCATAATACCATGACAACTCACTAACATCTAGAAGCAAACACGATATGGCCGGCGATCAATGTGCCATCTCAGATTAACTTATTCTGCCCCATATATGCCAAAATACCATCACAACATCAGTTCATTCCTACCCAGCCCTCAGCATTCCTCTTATGATGATTCGTTACCAAATATTCTCTTGCTCCAATCATATCACACAAAAAAAATAGCAACGAAATGATGCATGGAATCTAGCTACACGTGTTTGAATGTTGAGCTGCTCTCACTATCAATATCCCCAGCTGAATTTTCGTATAGCTACCTCAAAAGTAGAAAAATAAAAACAGTTTGTAATAATAATGATAATAATACTTTATTTCCACTCCGACATATAACATTGTATGGGAATTGTCAATATAATATAAATCAGTAGAAGAAAATGAAAAAAGAGTTAGAGAAGAGAAAATAGTAATAGAATAGAATCGGTAATATCTATTCTGAATATTCTGAAATTGTATAAAATCAAGCTTCCAATGAGTATTTCAACATCTTTTTGAACATAATGATGTGTTTCACAGACCTCAAATCTTCAGGAAGTTTAATGTATATTTTAGGTCCAATGCAGTCCGAGGCAGATGAACTCACTTTACACTTTGCTAATGACAAATGAAAGTGATTCTTAATTATTGTGGTATTGTTATGTAGATTCTGATTCATTGTAAAAGTTGATCTATTTCTGAAAACATATACACATAATTCAAAGATAAAAAGAGATGTCAATGTGAAAACTTTATATTCCTTGAAGAGACTTCTACACGATTTTCTAGCTGAAACATTTGCTATGCACCGTATTATTCGATTCTGGGCGATGAACACTTCCATTGTAGCAGTTGATCCACCCCAGAAACTCAATCTTCTACGTGAGCAAAATATATGTTAAGTAATTGATCCTGAAAACTGATCGGAGATTGATGAAAAGGAACTTCAGAGAGTTGAGCTCAGAAGTTAATTGCTGACACTGAGCCTTCCTCAAGAAAAATACCCAAGAATCTCATACTCTGATTAGTGTTCCTTAATATCATGCTATATGCTATTAACAGTGAAAGTGATATCTTCTATTTTGTTTTGAATATTGTGAATACGGACAATCTCTGTTTTGTCGACATTAAAAAATCAATCATGGTTGTTGAGGAAATCTGATACCTGACTTACTGACCCAGCACATTTATTTTGTGATATTTTTGAATCACGCGCAGAGATCAAAAATGAAAAATCATCGGCGTATGCAGTATGATGACTATCTGCATAACACTGTCTATACTATTAACATATGAAATGAACAGAACGGGACCCAATACAGAGCCCTGTGGTACTCCCATGTTTATGCTCAACGTCTCAGAATTAACTCTACAAGGAAACAAATTGCTTTCGATCGTGAAGAAATGACGACAACCAACTAAGACATACGCCTCTTATTCCATACATTTCTAATTTCGACCTCAGTTTTTGATGGTTGACACAGTCGAAAGCTCGACTAAGATCACAAGTCAGCTCGCAAAGTAACTCCTGTTTTTTTTTCAGCCTGCGAGGCACTCCAAGCTAGAAAAAGCCGACATCCTGGAGATGACAGTGAAGCACCTCCAAAACTTGCAGCGTCAGCAAATAGCGATGTCTGCAGCAGCAGATCCCACAGTCCTCAACAAGTTCAGAGCCGGATTCAGCGACTGCGCCACAGAAGTGGGCAGATTCCCTGGTCTAGACCCCATAGTCAAACGCAGACTCCTACAGCACCTCTCCAACTGCCTCAACCAAGGCTCCAAGCCCCAAGAAGTACCACAGGTGCAGGTTCACATCCTTCCCAATAGCCACAAAACCGAGCAACAGGTGCCTCATACAGGAGGGATAATTTTGAGCAACGGGAATGGTACCGGGGTGCAGCTAGTACCCACCAGGCTTCCCAATGGGGACATAGCTCTGGTACTACCCTCTTCCGGACAGCTTCAAGGGCAACCGCAGACATCTCCTGTGCCGCTGCTGGTGCCTATAGTACCGGAGCGAACGCCTTCTGTTGTTTCTGGTACTAGTGGTTCATCAGGTTATAGTCCTAGTCATAGCCCCGAGCCTATGGACACTATGTACAGTGAGCCTAAGCCTCTGTCTTTGGTGGTGAGGAAGAATGTGGAGGAATCTGATGAGAAGCCTTGGAGACCTTGGTGAGAACTGTGGAGGGGGGTTGTATGTGATTGTTTTGGTTTTTTTTTCGGAAAAATTGTGATATCTACTTAGTAGTGGACATCCCAGAGTTTGTTGATGATGAAAGTACCAGTATTAAGATTGTCAGTCAGTTGAACTTTCTTACGTTTGCCATTGTTTTTCAAGCTTTCAAGTTTAGTTTGTACCTAGAGGTTAGTTTCATAAGAGTCTAGATGTCAATATAATGAAGCATGATATTGATGTTTAAAATAAATCTAGAGATTCCCGTTGTGAAAACGAATGAATGTGGAAACTATCTACTAGTCAGAAGTGCCTTGAAATCAATTTTGAAAATTTCAGATTTCGCCTGTGTCCTCGCCAGGCTTCATTATATTGGATTTTGGAAATCAGAAGATAGATTCTTTAAGTTAGTGGTAAAGAGAGGGAGATTTTATTTATTGTATATTTTTGAGAAATTGTAAATAGATTTGACGATAATATATAACTATACATATAGATATCTTAGTGTAATGTATGTGCCTTAACAGCAATATCCATTATGTCTTCCAGAAAAGTTGGTATCTGATATGTTAAATGATATGTTCAAGAAAGTTTCCTAGTTGAATATAAACATATATATTTAATTTGAAAAAATAGTGTTTTATTTATCCAACCTCAGGATTATTACAATTTGAGAAATATTAAACGGATGATATGTTGCATGTCCGAAGGAAGCATTGTATTTTTGTTAATACAAATTTGTCAAGAAATTACATTTGACGACAGTTTGTGATTCTGAAGGTTGTTGTGACTGGTAAATTCGTTATTATCATACTTACGACTCTTGCTTCATGGCAATTGAAATTCAATTAACAACAATAATTTTTTTATCGTTTTGACGTCAACAACTCGATGATGGTATTCATTTGTTTCCAATCGAAATTGGATATTAGATGGATACATCACTGTGAATTTTTTTCTAATTGGGTATATTCACATTCTCATCGTATCGTTAGTCGTCTGTTTATGTTTGACACATGCTCAAATTGCGACCTTGATAAAAAACAGTAAACAATCGTGTTCTGATGAACGAGTTCACCAGAAAAAGTATACGTGAGGTCAGACCATCACGAATCAGATTAACTCATTTTTTTAATAGTAAACTGCTCAACACATGAAACGTAAAATCGCATTTTTTCCATCAAATTTGAATCATCATAACTTTCGATTTACTCAACCGATTTACAATTATTTTTCAGTTTCTGAAAGCTCGTTTCGTTGGCTATCGAACCTATTGATATGCTTATTTCATCTTTTCAGGATGAGATTCTATAGGATGATAATCAAAGCTGTGGATTTTTCGAAAAATTTCAAACGCCACTCGTTTGAAAGAAAAATGTTTCGATTATTTTTTGGGGTCAAATACATACTGCTTCATATCTTTTCTCGATACTGTAAAACATTTTTGGAATTGTTACAGGCGTTACTGAAATATGAATGTTTTATTGAGATAATGCATAATTTGATGCTCTAATTTCTATTGGCTTTGGTTCGATCGGTGGTCAAAAATCTTGAAATGATGCATGATCGACCTATTCTTATATATAAGGTGGTCCTCAAACAACAATCATTATGACATCAAGTGATAAAATAATCTTGCTTTGACGAGCAAGAAAATTTTGAAGCAGGAAACTGATTGAGAAGTAGTTTTCTGGCGATCAAAGCGTGTAGGAGAGGTTGTCATCACTATGTCAAGTTGCTACAAAATCTACTGCAAGATCAAATACCACTGGAATTGTTAGCAAAACCGGATTTTCAGAGCGTCGTTCTCACTTCGTGAAAGATTTTTCGAAGATAATTTCATGGCAAATGATTTAGACTGAAGAAATATACAGGATGTCGTCTAAAGAAAAATAGTTGCTGCCGAGACATACCATGCAACCGACAGAATTCATCACAATTGCTGAAGATTAACGAGTATCAGGATGTGATTTCATTTGCGGTGAACGTCTTCACAAATGACTTATATTGAATATTTGTCGAAATTCAAAAGAATAGTAGACGTGCGTCACATGGATATGAAATGTCCTCACTCAGAAAAAACATGAATTTTTCATATTGAATTCCATCACAGTCACAATGTTCCAGTTTTATGACTTTTCATCAATAACACCAGTTCAAATCACATCATTCTCACGTTTAATTGGATTTAACATTGAAGTGAACATGGAAAGTATGAAAATTCAATAACACATGAATTCTTATCTTAATAATAAAACATTTATATTTCAGTAACGCGTGTGCCAATTCCAAAAATGTCTCTACAGTATCGAGAAAACATATGGAGCAATATGTATTTGACCCCAAAGAATAATAGAACAATTTTTCTCTCAAACGGGAGGCGTTCGAAATTTTTGTAAATATGCACCGCTTTGATTATCATCCTGTAGTATCTCATCCGGAAAGGATGAAATAGTCATAACCATAAGTTCGATAGCCAATGAAACGAGCTTTCAGAAACTGAGAAATAATTGAAAATCGGTAGAGGAAATCGAAAGTTATGATGATTCAAATCCGATCGAAAAAATGTGATTTTACGTTTCATGTGTTGAGCAGTTTAGTTAGGACTCGTTATCTTTTTGAACAAGTGCGGCAGGCTATCAATGAATTCGTTTGGTGATTATACGATGTATTTAAAAAGAAAAAAATTCTAAAGAGCTTGTTACGCCATTAACCTCTTTTGGGATTTATTCGAACCATCATCAGAATTTCCTTAGGCATTTTCACACATCAAAGACGCAGAAGAACTCACCGAAATGAATAGGTAATTAGCTGGATGAAATTGCGTGTACCGCAAGGTTCTTTTTGTAACGCTCTTCAGATGCCGTGAATCTGCCATTCATCACTCAGAACATATGGTGAATGGTGTTTTGATATCGCAATTTGCGTTGTAGTGCGTAATAACAGTATATCATCTATCGATTTGTTGTTATTATTATTATTAGAAGTAATATCATTCGAAATAGATTTTAGAGGAAGTCATGTTGCTTTCGTCATATACATCTATCTATATATACAATAGACAAAAACCAGCGGATTATTTTAACTGGTCCTGTTTTTTTGCACGGTATTCCGAAGAGATAAAAATATTTCGCACTTTCTTTGAGCAGATTTATTATTTGCTGTCATTAGATTCTAATCCTACTTTTCACATACTACGCATGACTGCATTGGCTCAAGAAAACAATTATCTGTTTATACACTATATAATAATCATTCAATCTCGCAATTTTGCCACAGGGCGTTGAGAAGTATAGGGTGAAAGAGTAACTTCTGTTTTTCCCTGTATAATGATCAAGTCATCAGATTTTCAGGAAAACTAATATTCAAGGAAACATTCTGGAACATGAATCTACGATTTGATGTGAATTTCAGAAAAATCCAACAAGGATTAAAAAAGTTATATAATGTGAACAATTTGAGCAAATTTTTGGGTCGCCATTTTATTTTGCTGATGAGTGTACATAGATGAACGAAAGAAATAATATTCTTGTTTCGAAACAATAACTCATTCAACAAGTTCCTTTGAACTTTGAAATAGACAAATGCATGTTTGTCAACTTGAATTGGGAATATCGTTGACTTTTTCCAAGAAAACCATCATTTTGAGATAAAGAAATCATTCACCAAGTGAAAATTCTTATTCTCTTGATATTCACACTAAGAAATGTTTTCATTCATTTCGAAATGAATAGATTATTTTGGTTAAAATCTCTGAACAAAAAATAAGAACTACATGACTCTTTGTAAAATTGGATGTAAACATTGACTGGCCTATATACTGTCAGTAGCTTTTGTGAAATTACAATGGAAATCCGGCTTATTCATAAATGTAGGATCATCATCAATCTGCTTTTCATTCATCGACTGACCGCCATGTCGGTTTTGAATGGTCACGAATTTCGACCAAATAGTCCATTTCCTCAACGTGCTCGTAACATTATATTCGTTTTTTTTAATGTGATTTTTTAATCTTGCTTGTGGCAGACAACCCACGTCTTTGGCAAGAAAGAAAGCCATTTCTAGAGGCGAACGATAAAGAGCTCGTTTTATACTTCTGAAATTTTTATTACTAATGAAACTTCAGTGGCAGCATTTGTATCTGAATATTCAATACATTTTCCAACATATTCAGTTGAATTACCTGGAAGTCAACCAATACTAATTTTTAATAATTGAATCAATAACGGATATTTATTTTCCGAAAGATGAATATCAAAAAAGGAAACTCATTGTTTCAGATCTGAATTTTTTTTATATGTTCTGGTTCCCACGAATAGGGATATCCTGTGATGTTCAGAGAACATCGTGAGAACCAAGGGAAATAAGGTAGGAATTGGTGTTCTGCTTAAATTTCTGGAGGTTATATGCCTCGGGGAACTCCTCCCTTGGCAATATGTTCCAGAGCTTCGTTGTTCGTTGGATGAACGAGTTTTTGGAAATTTCCTGCAGGTCTCCAAAGTGACCACGAAGGGGTGCGAAGCCTCAACTCGACGGGTTAATCTCGCGGGGACTGCCAAGGGAGGAACAATTGTTGATATTTCAGAAGAGCATCGTCCAGAAAATATCTATAAAATAGAGCCAGATCGCCAAATTTTCTACGGTGTTCCAGAGAAGTGAGTGGGTTTGTGAGCGAGGCATCACCCACGAGACGAATTGCCCTTTTTTGAATATATAATGAGAAATTAACTGAAGATTTGCTTGAGGGTGTGATTTGCTTAAAAACATACAAAATGATACTGTGATGTTGATTTTCCTGTGAAATAAACCGAAAATTCACTCAATGAAAACGCTGTTCCATGTCATATCACGAGGAAGGAAGATATTAAGGGTGGGAAGTTTTCGAATTGACCCGGCATTTTTCGGAAATATCTCAACAGAATTGAAACCCTTCCCATATGAGATTGTAAGGGTAACATATCTAGTCTTCCTAGGGGGTTGAACCAAATATTCATTTTAAGTGTCCCGCTGTCTCCTCGATTTTTCATATTATTTACTGGAAGGAAGCTATTGAATTTTCAAAATGTCAACCTGTATTCTGAAATAAAAGTAGACACTTTTTAAAATGCAATTACCAGTCCATAAAATAAACAAACCAAAGGAATAATGTCGGGAAATCACCGCCGAAGAGTCCCAAGACCGAAAATCCCGGTTCGAGTAGAAGACCGTCAATATATATATAGTCAAGATTTCATGACGAAAGGGGGATTTATGCAGCATCATTCAACAATTATCGAGAAACATTTATCATTCAACAAGTAGCAGTTGAAAGTTGAACTTCCTGTTTTCAATGAAGGTGTTTATGCAGACATATAAACAATTATCAATTAACAAGTAACAAGTAAGAAGTAAGCCAACTTTTGAATTTCTTACTTCGATTGAATCACGTTTTCTTCTAATAATGCTCAACTAGTACGCAGATGATCACAGAATGGTTTCATCGACTGGTAGAGAAGGTATGGATTGGTCAGACCAATGTTAGACCTGATATCTGACAGGTATTGTTTTAACATGAAACAATTGCAATCAACAGAATAATTGTGAACAAAAGTAACCCAGTCACTTCCAGATCAGAAAACATTGGCCA